AGTTACGTAACACCTAGGATCGCAATTTCCACCGTAAGTTCCTTTTCTCTAGTCTTCATTAGTGAAAACTTTTCTAATATTATGATTTGGAGTATGCTCAGAGTTTCACATGATCAATAATATCATTTCTAGATTGTTTCGTTGTTTTTTTATCCACATGGATTGAACAAATTGAGTAAAACTAAAAAAGGCTTCGGTTATTATGAATAGTTATTATGTGCAATAATAATATTAGATGTAGACAACTAAGTACGTAAGGTTAATTGATTAATAAGAATATGAATTCTTACTGGGTGATGAAACAGATAAGACATGTATTACCAGTCTGTAGTCACTGCAGGAAGTTCGGATAAATCCCAAAACTGGCATCGAATAGTTTGAAATGTTTTAAGGATTATAAACGAAGTTTTTGATTGATTGTTTTAATAGTTACGGTTGTCTAGTGATTTTAGTCAGGTAAACATTTTTGGCTGTTTGGCACTTCATGAGCATGATATCTGTCATAATGTCAAAAAAGCATCCAATTGTGTTCAGAATTGTGAACATTCTTATTTTCTCACGCTCAACGGAAATATTGACTAACAACCAAATAACCCCATCAAACGACATAAGAATAACGATTTTCTTTGAGTGATATCGTGGATTGACTAGTGCTTTATATATGGTTCGCTGGACGTCATTACAACTAAAAACTTTTCTGCAATACCTAGATGTTCTGGGTTCAACCTTTGTTGAGGTTTTGAGTTAATTGCTAAGAAGTAACAAACTATAATAAAATGGCTGTTAGGTGTTGCAGTGCTGAAATTCGATCACGTCAAAAACTATCTCAACATGCAGGCAAAACGTCAATAAATCTGTTAGTGGGTGGTATTGTTCAGGTATACAAACATACAGTAGTTTGGTCATCGAGCTTCTATCACAATGTTATTTTTCTTCCAAGTTAACCCTTGGTCACAAAATAAAAGTATGTAGAGCATCACATCATTCCTCCTTATTGGCCCAAATACGCTTTTCAGATTAACACCAAAAGATATGAATTTCAGATTCGGAACTGTCTGTTGACTATTTTTAGCCTTTTAATATCCATTATTAACCGTAACAACATGAAGCCACTCAGGCCAGTGTCTACAATGATTATGTGATTAACTTGGTTTTCACCCGTGTGATTTATATGGCCACATATGGGACCATTACAAGCTCTATGATCCGATAATAATTCATGTGTTAATATAGAGTCAGTTGTAATCTTTAGTACCATTCAAAACAAGTAATAAACAATCTGTAATCTAAAACAATTAGATCATTCAACAATTCATATATGATGGGAATTTATTTGAATCTATCTATGTCTATTATTAACTGACCTGAAATAACCCTAGGCATTGTTAATCTATTGATTATGTAAACGGATTAAACACAATTTTTAAGTTAACCATCTACATATATTTATTCTTAGCTGTTTTTAGCAAATAGAATAAAAATTTATTTCACAGAACAAAAGTGAGATTGTTTTCTATTCACTTATTTATTACATCATCTTATCTGCAAGCAGCTGAAAATTAAAATCGCCTCAGTTGTCAACTAATAAAATTGACTAATATTCAATGTTTTTTTTTCTATTTAATTTCTTATTCAGGAATTTGTCTAAAATAGGGTTATATTCCTGTGTTTTAGATCAATAAGATGCGACCAATCAGAGAATTACACGTTAAATTTTTTTTTGTGGATTTGTTTGTGTATCAATCAAAATTTTCTTGCTACCTTATTGGTTAATTCAATATGTGTGACATAATGCATACAGGTACATTATTATAGATGATATGAACCAAGTGCGAATATCTCATTTTCTAGCAAACGAACCACGTGAAGATTGAAATGCAGTTTATTATTTTTGTTTCATTCAAAAGTTCAATCTTGTAACATAATTGATAAACCATTAAATATGTAACATGATAGTTAATGAATTCAACTTTTATGGAAGTAAGGTGAAATAAATTATATCCTAAGCAAGTGTATTAGTAAAGTAATAGTTTGGATGAAATGTTATGCAATTTAGAAAACATTATAAATATTAAACATTTCACTGGTTGAAATCATGAGTCCATTGAAGCTAGACCACCATGGATAACCTGAAAGCACTAGACGACCGTTTCGTCCTAGTATGAGACTCCTCAGCAGTATGCACCTACGATCCCACCGCCCCCTGCGAGATCCGAACCCAGGACCTACCAATCTCGCGCAAGGCGCTTAACCAACTAGACCACTGAAGACAATGATGTACGGTGGAGCAACTTCGTGGATTGGTTGAAGTTAGACATTAACACCGTCGGATGCCGGCTCAGTGGTCTAGTTGGTTAAGCGCCTTGCGCGAGATTGATAGATCCTGGGTTCGGATCTCGCGGGGGGCGGCGGGATCGTAGATGCATACTGCTGAGGAGTCTCATACTAGGACGAAACGGTCGTCCAGTGCTTTCAGGTTATCCATGGTGGTCTAGCATCAATCGACTCATGATTTCAACCAGTGAAATTTCTAAAATCTCCACAAAACCCCTTCTGATATTAAATATTTAACAGAATGATAAGATTAAACGGTTATAAGGCAATATGTGAAGGATTTTAAATGGTTATACAAAAATTTCATGAATACATCATACATTCATAAAAGTGCCTGTCAAAAATGAATCCTTTATTATTTACATTATTAGAAGAAAGTGAATAATTGTATACTGTCCCCCCCCCCGAAATAGTCCTGTTAATATTCTCTACTTATTCCAAATACACCGAATACATATACAATTTAATACCAGAGAACTTATTTTGAATAATGAAATTCATAGGTATCATTACTATGGTTTGACTCGGTAATTTCAAATAAATTGAGTATTAGATAGACTGACAGAGAAGTCCTAATCACTGTCTTCTCGCGGCGAGGGTGTTGTTTACGAAATTGAGAGGACAAGAATGCAATTTCAACTTTTCATCCCTTCATATAAAAAAGGATCAACTTGCACCTGATTTTTGAAATGCAGTAATGATATTGTTCACCTGGAGTGATGAAATAATGAATAGATTCATCTGAGCAGCATCAATTGACAATAATTACCATAAATCCTTATATCTCAAACAACTGTATCTGGTTTGTAACTGTGATCAATTTTCCCCGCGGTAAAGAGAATTTGTGTAAATTGTTTAACTACAATCTAGTTTTGATCAAGAACTGACAACAGTTGGAAAACTAATGGCTAAATAGTTTGTAATTGATTATCTAAAATAAATCGGTAAAATTAATCCCCAGGCGGTGGTAAATATTACTTTCATATTTGCTAATTCAACTGAAATCCTATTTATTATTGTAAGGTAAATTCTGAAGATAAAAAGTATGCAAACGAAATGATCCTATCAATGCATACTCATACGATAGAACTCTGGAATTATCGAGTATGCATGAGACTTGAAGTTGATATTAGACTTTTGAAAACTTACTCTTGTCAGCGGTATTGAAAATAATAAATTGGCAAAAGCATAACAATCTGATTGAGAAAAGTTTTTATAACTCAATTTATATTGATTTTTAAAGTCATTTTTATATCAGTGATAGTTAAGTATTTATTCATAACAATGTATCCAGTTAATTGGCCAGTAGTTTTATTTTCTTTCGGGATTATAAGTAACCAATTCGTTCAGAACTTTGAGCTGATGTCCGGTTTCTGAAAACGTACTCTCATTAGATGAATTGCCTATGACGAACATGTTCAGATAACAAGGTGATTGAACAGGTTTTTATATTACAGTTAATAGTTATTTTCAAAATCGTTTAGGTATAAGGAAAAGTCTTGAATAAAAGTCAGAATCTTCAATACGAACGTAAAGACAGTTCTACTGTACGAAGCTAGAACGTGGAGAACCACTTCAACCATTATCAAAAAGTTACAAGTATTTATAAACAATTGTCTACGCAAAACACTCGATGTCTGTTTTCCGGATACCATCAGCAACAGCCTACTGTGGGAGAGAACAAACCAGCTTAAAGCTGAAGAGGAAATTGGGAAAAGACGATGGAAGGGGATAGGACATGCATTGAGGAAGTTACCAAACTGCATCACTAGACAGGCACTAATTTGGAATCTTGAGAGGGACTGAATTGGAAGCAGACATGAAGAGGATGAATAGCAACTGGGATAGATTACCTAGGACAGAGTTGGATTGAGAGCGCTAGTGGGTGGCCTATGATCTTCCACGAGGGGTAACAGGCGTTAGTAAAAATCTTGAAAACTTGTTAACACTATAATCAATCTGTTGATCGGTAGTTCTGACTTACTTCTAGAGCGTACTCAAAAGACGGAGTTGATACGATCAATATTCAATTATCAGTCACCTCGGTCACTTAAACGCTTTATTTAGTCAACTATACTTTTATGAAAAAATTTGTGATAGTTGAAAAAGTTTCCTCATAGTTCTTTTCATCAGGACTTTTATTCAATTTCAGTGAACGAAATTTTCAAATCCCCTTGTGGGCTGTACTTTTAATAAACTGATTCACTACTGAAAATAAATTTAACGGAATGGGGATTTGTGGAGATTGTATTATTTTCACAGTTGAAGCCGTGACCAGTGGACTCCGATCCGTGTCGAGTGGCGACAGTTATCCACTTTAAACAATGAATGAAGGATTGCGCAAGATCATGGATCGATTAAAGTTAGACATTAACACCTTTGGATACTGACTTAGTGTTCTAGAGGCTAAGGGTTTGCGCTTGGGATCGCGAATGTACACTGTTGAGGAGTCCAGTACTAGGATGAAATGGTTATCCAATGTTTCCAGGTTTTCAATAGTGGTCTAGCTTAGATCGACTCATGAATTCAACTATATAAATTTAACACTTTGAACAGTTTCTTCAGATTCAAGTTACAACACAAATTCAAAGTAATGCATGCAATGAATTCGTTTTACTTAAAATAGTATTTTAAAAATTATAAAATAACCAGTGAAAATTGATAGTACACACGTATGCATCACATGAACACAATAAGGCTGTGGTAATTAGATTAACTTGTACACTAAACAATGCTACAGAGTATGTACTTTGTATTCATACTATTAATTTGTAAAGTACATTAACAAGGAAGTAAACATAGATCAGTTTATTCAATGTAATAACAATCTTAATTTTAAAGAGATGGAAATACTCTTTATTATTATTAAGTTATGTACAATACAATTTTTAACTATTTAGATGGAAAATATCTCACACTACTGACTGATTCTTCCAAAATATAACAGTTAATGAGCCTATTAAAAAATAATAAGTTTGTAGACATGACTGATGCTATTATATTGATCAATAAAAATAGATATGGACAATTCTATTGATTAAAAAAAACAATTCTGATAGTACATTGAAAAAAGTAAACCATTTTAAGTCAGGTCTCTAACATGGATAGAAAATTTGAAGTATATGCTTAACTAAATTAAGTAACATGGTGTTGAATCTACAAATGTTATATTTTATTTTATAAAAATGATACGGAGAATTTGAACAAAGGAATGATGACATTGATAGTTGCTATTATCCGAACGAAGAATAAATGAATGGCAACTCCTAAGAACTATTATTACATATATTCCTACTCGATACTAATTAATTAATTAGGTTATATGTATTTTCATATCCCTTTTGTCATAAGCTTTCATTTAACGTATTGGTTAATGCAATACGATTTCAATAGTTGAGATTATGAGTCAATACGATTTACCATTATTTACTTATTCCCAACTTATCGGTTACAGTATCCCACACTCATAGCCACTTTTGTCTTGATCTTTTATAATTATTATTTTTCATTTTATGATGTGATGCGGTCTGGTTTGTTTGTGTATAAAATAAGTGTGTCTAATATATACGATTCATACAGAGAAGGCTGATATTTGTGTTCTGGACTGAACGGGATGGTCGAGGCGAGAAGTTGTTATACAGATGAACAATAAAGACTAAAAGTTGACTCAAGGCTGCTAATGCTGTTTGACACGGGGACAAGCTCATAAGAGTCGGCATTCTGACTGGCGATTCGTCACGTGGTATTTGACGGACCATAGGATATGAAAATAGTAGAACGCAATGAAATGATTGGATTTCGTTATTTTCAATCAAATTGCATAAAAGTTAATATGTTTAGTTATTTCCAATTGATGACATAATGTTAAAAATGAATTGTCAATCAACCTTGCAATGGACACGTTTTCGCATATACAGGAAATTAAATATTATGAATTAAAATAAAATATAACAGTATCAAGTAACAATGCAAGAAATTATTAGACAGAGAAATTATATAGTTTCAATAAATATAAGTGTTACCAATGATTGATAGAATTATCATAATCAATAATAATGGCAATGATGATTGAATTAATAAAATGTTCACACACAACCGATTCTTGAATCTCGACAATGAATAGACTTTAAAAAAGAAAGAATCCTCGAGAACGAAAATTCTATCTCAACGTAGGTATGACTAATAAGATTGGACAAGAATAACAGTAGCTAATTCATTGACGCAAACGGTATCACGGATAATAAACCTTTATACTAGAAAGATATGCACCTAAGTTCTATGGTTTCTTATCGAATCTATATTTCAATCTTTAGCATTTTATGTAATTTTTCTAAAAAATTAAATCAACCGACTAGTTGTTTATTTAAACATTGGAAAACACTAATTTTTTTTTCATATTGTCACAAAATAATTAATTACTAAGCCGTCTCTCTGTAAAAAAATACAGATGTTTATTTTGAGTTTAAATAGTAAGACATAAGATAGTTCATGACTCTGGAGAAAACTGCCGAAAATTTTAAAGCAAAACTTTTTTAGACAGGAAGAGTTTGTCAATGAAAACGATTTAAATGATCACATCTGTGTGTGTGAAAATCTGTAAATGTTATGTTCCGAATGATATCAAAGGATATAGAAACATTGCCATTTTGTATACGCATAAATCAGTTTGAGCGAAATCGAATAAAATAGAGACCTACTATAACAACCATTGACAATGATAAGGCAAATGGAATTAATCACCTCAAATACAGCTAATGAAGTGCGCTGTACTATAAGTCATTATCTACTATAATTTGCACTTTATCAGTGCCAAGATTAAAGAATTCAACTACAGATGCAATAATGATGGTGTGTCATATGGTATGATATTCCTGAATAAAAAAGACGCCCATCTTTATCAACTGCAATGTTATAAATGTAAATCAGTGATCGAATCATGAATAAAGTTTCGTCTACAGTCTTACTGTTTTTCTATACATCGAGCCACATCATGTGGTGATTAAATTCGAGAGAGAATTTCTGGAGATTCAATCAGAAGCCGTGACAACTGGAGTTTACTCGTGTCAGATGTGAGAAAAGTACCCACCGCATACAGTGGGATATAGTCGCACGACAGTAAGATTGGGTTGAAGTTAGCCTTGTATACCAAGAGATTCTGGCTCAGTGATCTAGGGGATAATCGATAGAGAGAGAGGCTCAAGGTATCAGGTTTAAACTCTTGTCAGGGGTCATAGATGTTCACTGCTAAGTAATTTCACAATAGGGCTAAACAGCTGTCCATTAATTCAATGGCTATTTGTCTTACATTGATTTGCAATCTCGATAGCATGTCAGACTTGTCGCGTTTTGATAATCAGAAGCTACTCCCACAATCATAACAAATACCCGAATTGTCAGGATCAGGAAGCGTGTGAAGAAAAAAAAGAAATAGTTGTCTTTCCAACTTACACTTTATTAACCACACCTACACACTCGACGGACAAGTTTCACTTTTGCATGTTTAAATATCCTTGTTGAATCTGTGTTTTCCCAGCTAGCGATTCAAAAAGTTAGAAATGAATTAAATTCATACAAATCTAAAGAACTGTTCATCATTGTTGTTTTGTTCACATTATCATATAAACCGTCAAAAATGATTGATAAGTGATCATGTATAGCATAATCAACATATCTAAAAAATAGATAAATAAGTAAGAATGGAATCGTTTCTTATGATGTTTAATATGAATAGAATAATTGATAAATTTCATGCTAATACTTGTATAGGCAAACTAATGTGTGCTTTCTCAAAACAAAATGAATAAATATTTTATACTACTGAAATGAAATCAAAGTAGTACATCTTGCTGATGAAGAAAACCGAATAAACGGACACAAACATTAAGTTTGAAAGACATGTATGTATAATAATAAGATGGTACAGTCAATATTTAAATGAATAAACCATAACATAAATATACAAACTTGATTGAGTTCATACAAAAAAAACTCACAAATACGGTCATGTGACGATTTCTGTCAACACATGAACACAAACTCATTAGCGTATGGGATTCTCATAAACACGTGCAAGTCTACATGAAGAAATAATTCAAAGAATTACATAATAAACATTAAAACAGTAATAAATACATAGAAAGGCAAAATAATATGTGATAATTAATTTGTGTATACACTGTGAAGGAAGTGAAGTAAAAAAGGGTAAAGATTATGCAATTAATTTATGACAGCTCAAACAATTTATTATAGGTCAGTTAGATTAGAAGAGAAATTTAAACGAAAGAGCAAAAACAAAACAGTAGTAATTTAATATTATGAAAGGATAAATAATGAGTAAGTGTTAATAGGAAGGTTTAGTTAATAGATTAGTTGGGGATTGTGTAGGGGATGACAGACTGAAACGTTTAGAAGATGGAACGTGATCCCTTTGATTATTATTACCATTATTATTAGTATTTAATGATGTTGTGCTGAAGTACGGAGCAATATTTTTATTCAACAATGTATGGCATACATCACATACAACAGCCGGATGGCCAAATGGTCCAGCTGGCATAGTATTCTTTGTACAATTGGGACAATGAACTTTACCACAATGACGACAATTGATTTTTTTCGAACTGTTACTATTAGAAAGTCCAATTGGAAATGCTGAATTACACGAAAAACAGTTGGTTACATCATCTGGACTAATCCATCTTACTTCTTGATCTTGTTGTCTTAATCTTTCCAGTTGAACCTGAAATAAATTTATAAACACAAAATTAAAAAAAACACCGAAAACTACATAATTGAAATGTAACTTGAAGAACCAATAGTGTGTTCTGCTCACAATGATTGGATGTAACAATTATAAATCAGTGTGTTTAGTGGTATTGCGTCGTCTTAACTGGTTTGTCTAATTGAGGGACAAGTAAAATCATGTTGTCCAGAGGAAACGCTGCCACCAGCTCCTCCTTAGTAAGTTAGTAGGACAAATTTTTCAAAATAATAGTGATAAAACTGAAGATATATTTACGGGGACATGTTAAAGGATTTCAGAATAAGAATGTTTTGCATAAAGGACAAACTGACTGATTACTATAGTCAAGATTATTATTATTATTCGAGAGCGTCAATGAAACATCAACAATAACTCAACTAATTGATGAATTTGGAGACGATCAGTATGAAGAAGCAAGGATTAAAACTAGAAATTACGCATTAATTCTACTGGAGAATCAATGAGTTGCAGTGACTTTGTCCTCAAATCGTTTATTGGTTAAGTGACTCTTAAATATATTCGTTCATTTGTCCAGTGTTTCGTAAGCACGATGTGTTGTTAAACTAACAAATAGGCAAATGTCAATAAATCAGTCTGATGAGAAGCCGCTATTCCATCACATTGTACACTTGCATGTTATCAATCCATCGGTACACCCCAATCAGCGATTTAAAATTCGCCAAACATCTTTTCATTACAAATCATAAAAGGTTAATAATTCATAAGTGACGGTGGGGATCAAAAATCGATTATAAAAAGATACTGACCATATTTTGGATGAGAGGAAACCATTATACATGATTTTCGTTAAAAGACTAATATCAGTTAGATGGTTTCAAAACTAATATCTGTGAACAGATGCTTTCCATTGTGCTAATGAGGCATGGCAACTTACACCGATGCATATATGTGCGTGGTCCTACGTTGTATGATGACTTACTGATGCTTTGTCACTAACTGATGGTACAAACCACTATTCCAACACTGAAAACTTACGGGTAGTAAGAGGAACACTTTTTTTATCAGATAAGTTGCTAAGCTGAAATATAAAAATTATTTCATTAATCTGAAAGGTGACGTGTTTTCTCTATTAAGATTTTGATGACTTCGAGAAGTTTTGTAAATGACCAAATTGAATGGTATTCGTGGTGTATTGTGAATACAGTAAAATTTGAATATGCACGATTATCGGATTATGAATCGAAAACCGAGTAATAACACAAATCCGATGCATCTTGAAGCTTTTCATACACGATAATGGTGTGCAGATAAAAAAGGAATAAAAAATCAATGCTCTGGATTATTATTTTGGCAACTGTTTTTAAAACTGATAGGAAGAGCCAATTGGAAGTAGCAAAAGGTCAATCGATGGCAATCAGAATTCACCTAAAGGTCAAGTGCATTTCATTAGGGTCAATGTGTCAATTTTCTAAGGATAGAGTTGTATGTATGAATGAGTATTTGTGCAATTCATTCGGTAGTACAATACACTTTCTCGTTCACTCTTGTGGCCTCACTCAAGTAGTCAGTCGAGGGTTAGCGTGCAGCACACCGTGCGTCACAATAAAAACAATGAATGCTATTTTTGTAAAAAAAAAAACTATTTTAAGTCATTTAAAAGATACAGCTACTGATTCATGCAATCTGATTAAGGTAATCTATGAATGGGTTCATGCAGTAAACAACAAGTGATGAGTATGATTCTATTGATAATAACAATTATAATAGTTTTTGTATTGTTTACTTGAATCTTCCCATTGATGTTTAGGACTGCAATTGATCAGTCTCTTATTGGCATATGTGCATCCTATGTGAATGGCCTTGACATTGCTTCAAGTCACAAGCGTTATAAGTAGAGATGATGGTTTACAATTATAAAAGTTGTTTTAAAACACCAACTTATTGGTCAGTAACCCTAGATATAATCATACAAAACAGAACAATTTACATGTAAGTGAAACCAAATTAAACGACTAGGACTCACTTGTAAATTTTGTGACAAACGAACAAAATCAGCTTGGACCGATTCCACATTGTCTAAATCATTTTGCAATCGAATAACTTGATCTTGTAGATCAATAATTCTTTTCTGAGCTTCAGTTAAATTAGTTTCAGTCAGTTCATATTTGGCCTTTTTAAAAAAGAATAGAACGAGATGTATAAATATAATTTAATTATAGAGAGATAATTTGTTGAAAAGTCAGGAAGATCACGTGTTGTCTGAAGACAATATAGTAGGTAAAAGATGTATGTATATGCGGGCTAATGTAAGTGAGTAAATTGTTCAGTTGGACAAGGACATCGGGCAAATTTTGTTAAAGTATCCACGATTGTACTGAAGTCTTAATGTCATTGAAAAAAAAAGTTGTTCCGTTAGTAGGATGAGGTTATTTTTTGAACAAATGAAATTATTCTACTCATGAATATAGATTTTGTCTGAGTCAATCGCTCGTTCACATCGCTATTACTGAAAGGCGTTCTAGAAGCAACCTCTGGAATCCACAGGTATTCTAAAGGAAAAAAAACTTGTTACATTCTAACGTGGAATCATTTGAGAGTTTTTCAAGTAAATTTACGCTTAAATCAGGCTATTTACAGCATATAATGCAGATATGAAAGTAGTGTAGAAACATTTTGAGATATTGTATTAACTGTGTTAGCGGATAATCATATATCAATTTGAATTCACGAGCTTCAGACGAATTTGTAATTTGTCGAAGCTGGAGAAACAATGAGTCCATAGGTGTTTTACCTTCAAATGCACAGTCACCTCAAGCAATAGTGAATAATGTTGAATTGTTGCCCGTTATGGTCCATATATCATTCCCAGAGATTAAATATAATTGGTTGACGAGGTTGTGAATCTTCGTTGACTGTAGTACTTGATTATTACGACAGACAGAGTTAACTAGTGTATGAGTAAATTGAACGAAATATGGGGGTGGCCAAACCAAAATATGGGATTAGTTCCTGAAATCATTGACTATCGGTCCAAGTCATGTTGGTAAACGCAGAAAATCTGGTTGAGGTTTACACGATAACCACAATCAGAGGTTAAGGACTTTGGATCACATGGCTTAGAACAGGTAATAATGAGAAAATTCATTCACTCTTTATAATTATTGAGATCATTTGTTCCAATATTCCTTTACACATACATTTTCCGTCTTTTCGATTTGCATTTTCAGTGTTCAGATTTTCTCATCATTATTTTTATTACATTATTTTGTTTTAGCTATTCGTCCTTATATGACATGACAACTTGGACCAATGTATATTTATGCTAGGTTCTATATAGATTATGACTAACTAATTAACTATTATGACAATGATAGAAAAAAAGTAGTAATCTATATGAATACATAAACACGCACCTGTATTTCATTCAACTTAGATTTAGACATTTTTAATTCATCTTCACATTTCTGTCTTAGAACGGTTTCATTATCACGTTCAGTTGTAATATTGACAAGATCAGCTAGACGTCTACGTGCATCTTCCAATTCTTGTAGAATTGACGATTCAAAATTAATACGTTCTTGTTGTTCATTTGCTAGCTGTTCTCTGTGAGTTTCAGTTTCCTTCTTTAAACATTCTTCTAAATGATCACGTGCTTCACTTTATTGTGAAAATGAAAGACACTAACAATACGTATACATTTATAAATGTATATAAATGAATTTTCTAGTGATGTAAATTAGCATTAATTCAAATGATCAAATTAAGTTGATCACAGTGTTTTAATTGAAACAAAGATTAATCTGTTTATCGGTATAGGAATCGTGGAGACTATTGAATTCTATTGAGATCAAAAACGCCTCAGTTAAACAAACATTAAGAAACTAGAACCATTAGGTAGCTGTTTCGTCCCAGTATGGAACTCATAGGCAGTGGAAATGTGTGACCCCGTCACCAGAAATTGAATACTACTGGGGAGCCCCCATCCCTGGATGAAACAGCCATTCAATGCTTCTAGATTTTTAATGGTTTCCCAATATAAAGTTTTGTGATCTCAATGAAATTAATACAGATCATTGAGAGATCATATAAGTTTCCTAATAAAAACTTGGATTCGTACTACTACTGTTGCATGGTCTGAATGATCTTCCATTGAACAAAATTTATTGTTGTTGCTGGATAGACCAGTACTAATCACTCAAACTTTTTAATTATAATTTCAGTTTGTTTAAAATTTACCTAGAGTTGTATTTTACTAAACATAATTTTCTTTCTTATAGTATTATCTAAGGTATTATTTATTTATTTGAACACATAAATATTGGTACAGGGGGGCACCAAATATATATGCGCCACACAAAATAATGATAATTTGAAGAGAAGGAGAAAAGAGAGAAAAAAAGTAATGAACGTGGGGAATTATAAAAAAAGTGAGAGAGAGAACAATGGTGGGGAAACGGAAAGGTACAATCAGAAGAAATCTTACAGATAAGGAAGATACAACCACTTTTTATGAAGAAAGTAAAAGAAGGTTACAGCAAGATCGCCACTGGCTTCTATTCTGAGCCATATCTGATAACGTCTCTAGCCACTGCGTTACACCGTCTCTCGGACCCCAGCCAGGGAGTCGTGAAGGACCAACAGAAGCCGGCCCTTTGCAGCTTTCTTTCATACCACGAGGCCATGTCATATACTGACCACCTCTTCGCTTTTTCCAACCAGTCCCAGAGTCGGCAAATCATGCACGACGAGGAATTCTCTGGGACGACATTCGTAGAACATGTCCAAGCCACCGAAGTCGGTGTTTCAAGATGGTGACACCAATTGCATTATCGTCTCTGTGCCCGAACACACGATGCCGAACCTCTACATTACTGACATAGTGTTGCCACTGGATGCCAGCAATCCTTCGGAGACAGCGATGATCGAACACAGAGAGACGTCTAACATCCTCAACTCGGAGAGGCCAGGTTTCACAAACATAGAGCAAAACTGCTCTCACCGACGCGTTGTAGATCCGACTTTTTACAGCCAAACTAACATCACGAAGGCGCCAAAGATGGCCCAGATTGGCATAAGCCGCTCTGGCTTTCACTATATGCGCATTGATCTCATCACTCACACCACCACCAGCACTTATGCAGCTACCCAGATACACGAACTTCTCGACCACTTCTATCTGCTCACCGTCCAGAGTGAGTACAGGATTAGAATCCTGCCAGTCTTGTAGAAGTACTTTGCACTTCGAACGTGCGAAGCACATACCATACCTACGGATATTGATTGCCAACTGATTAAGCGCGGATTGCATGGCTTGAACATTCTCGCACAGTAAGACAATATCATCCGCATATTCAAGGTCGAGAAGTCTTTCTCCAGGCAACAGATCCACTCCACCATTACTTAAATCCGTCAGAGCTGTTTCCAGAATGTCATCGATGGCAAAGTTGAAGAGGAATGGTGAGATTGGGCAACCCTGCCTAACTCCACTGCTCGAATGGAACAATGGAGAAAGGTGGTTGTATGCCCTCACTCTGTCTGAGGTGTTTGTGTATAGGGCTTTTAGGATGTTAATAAACTTCTCAGGCACACCCTTCTTCAATAGACAATCCCAGAGAACAGTTCTGTCCAACGAATCGAAGGCAGCCCTGATGTCAACAAACACTACGATTGTTGGCCTTTGATAAGTATGGCGGTGTTCTAACACTTGGCGGAGGGTGAAGATATGATCAATACAACCTCGACCAGAACGAAACCCAGCCTGCTCCTCGCGAGTCAATCCTTCTCGGGTTCTGAACAACCTACGAAGTATGACGGAAGCCAATAGCTTGGACGCAATTGGAAGTAGACTTATCCCCCGATAGTTGTTACAGGAACGACGTGAACCCTTTTTAAAGATAGGGACAACTATCGATTCATTCCATGACGTTGGTACACACTCTAGTTCCCAGACCTTTGTAAACAACGTCGTCAGTCCCTTAGTCAGAAAGTCACCACCATCTTTAAAAAGAGCCGGAGGTAAGTCGTCTGGGCCCGGTGATTTATAATGTTTCAAGAGTTGGAGTTCCTTGAGGACTTCCGCCTCATTTGGTGGATCAGTCGTCACCGGCCATGGAGGGCAGGACAGTCTGACCGATGTTGCCGGAGCAGCAGGCCAGTTGAACTGCCCTTCAAAGAATTCTGCCCATCGTCCAAGACGTCGATGGATGTTAGTGAATGGCGTTCCATCATCCTCGCAGATTGTTTCGCTCACACCAGACTTCTTGCTGCCAGTGACTCGGATGAGTTGGAAGAGCTTCCGGTAATTACCAGATGCAGCTGCGGCTTCCAGCTCATTAGCACGCTCCGACCACCAGGCTTCTCGGTCTTTACGCCAGCTTTGCCCGATTTCATTACGTAACATCCTTCGTCTGTGGTCAAACTCACGGTCACCCGGAGTAGACCGACGGGCTTCAATCAGTTGTAAGGAACCAGAAGAAACCCAGTGTTTGTAAGCGGGACGTTGCGCGAACCCACAACAGACTGTACCCACCATTTTCATGGCGTCATGCAACTGCAACCAATGCCCATCTATACTTTTCGGTGGAATGGTAGCTAGCCTAGAAGCTAGCTCGGTTCGGTACTTACTAGCATCAGAAGTTGCAGCCAGCTTGCTAACATCAATCCTTTGGTGGCGGTCACTTCGTTGTCCACTGAAAAGCAAGGTAAGATTGGCGCAGACCAGAGCATGATCACATTCCAGATAGGTACTCGAAAAGGAGCGGCAGTCTTGTACACAACCACGCCAGCGGTAGCTGATCGCGATGTGATCAATCTGAGTCCAGGCTTGAGATGCAGAAGGAGGACGCCAGGTGGCACATCGGCGATGACTGTGCCGAAAGTTAGTGCTAGCCAGAAACAGGTTGTGGTCTGTGCATAGTTGCAGTAGACGTTCCCCGTTATCTGTCCTGCGACCAACAAGTCCCCATTGGCCACCTAAACGACTCTCTTCAGTGCCTAGACGCCCGACCTGAGCATTCAAGTCTCCGGCTAGTACTACAATATCTATCGAACGCACTTTCTGGAGAAGAACAGTTAACTGGTGGTAGAATTCATCCTTGATTGCATCCGGGCTGTGATCTGTCGGGGCATAGGCGGAGATGACGAAAAGACATCGTTTCTCACGTCGATTTCTTCTCACTTTGATGGTACTTTGTAATCTAACAGCACATAACCGACTGTTAATGAAGATCCAGTCGACTAGTGCTGTCTCAGCTCTTGCGCTTAGTGCGACACCAACTCCAGCAAGACCAGACTAAGGTGCCACAGTATCCCCGGATAAACGCACATAAAACAAGCTTTTTGAGGCGACAGATGGAGAGCAAACTTGTAGTACTTCACCAGAGTCTTGAATACGGGTCTCGGATAGACAACACACATTAATATTAAGACTTTCGAAAGACATAGCCAGCCCTATCTGTTGTCCGACCTGCATAAGTGTGCGAAAGTTGAAGGCAGCCAGTTTGAATGGTGCACGTCGATTCAGAAAAACTGCTTCAGTACTCGTATTCGGTGGCAACATACAATTTTCAACCAGGCAGTGACTCGAGAACGTTTAGATAAAGCTGAATTTTTACCATACGCGAGCTGCTGTCTGAGTCGAAACGGATACAAAAAGTAGAAATAGGAGATAGTGAATAAATGACGTAGTAAATAATAATAATAATAATAATAATAATAATAATAATAATAATAATAATAATAATAATAATAATAATACCAGTCATTTCAATGTTAGTCGGAGAGAAACGAATATTTTCCATAAGCAGATAGTTCATCATGGTTTTAGTGTGTGGGCTGGGATATTGCCCGGGTGCCCAAACCGAAGCTTACTTGAATATAAGGTACAAAATGACCGCAATACTAACTGAGGGATATGTATGTCGCAGTAAAAATCTTATCCAACAATGATTAATAATTCGAAAAAACCATTTGCTTGTTTTTTACAATGAAATATAATCAGACACATTGAGTAATTAGCTCTCACTATCAGTTAAAGAGAACAATATATGAACACTTGAAAAGCAGCACTACTAAACAAAATGGGAATACATCGTAGAGAAAAATTGTCGAGAAAGTGTTGCGAAATTCCTTAATTACCACAGACAATTAAGTATCTGAAACAGTTTTTAGTAGGAGAAAAGTTTATCATAGTCAATAGGTTAATTACGAAAACTGATTATAATAAAAAAACACAAAATCTGGACCTATGTATAAGTATGGACTGAGAGAAGTATCTCAGACACATTAAATCCTGAGAAAATCCATTTATAATTAGATAATAGTATTCAGCATACGTGTGAGTTCGTTTAAATTACCTATATACACTCTCAGTCGAGCATTTATTACGGAGTGAAGATAAACTGCAGAAATCCCCTGCAAAGTCTATTAATCGTGCGGACTCAGTGAACTCACAAGTGAGATCATCATACACTGACTAAAGTTAATGCAGATTAATTATTCATTCAGTCAACAATGCAGAGAATAGGACTTATCACAATTCAAATTACTTTTAACTGGACATCAATAAGTGGGAAGATTGATATAATTAGAACATATTTATATTTTTCTGCTCCGCTTCAAGTTATATTTTATGTATCTGACGGCTAATGATGCTATCTAGGCGGAGTGACGTTGCAGATTAACTACTTCAACTACTAAGCTGAACAATCTACAAATGTACATTGTGACGTTGAGAACAATGTCCACGTTTATGGGATTACACTAAACCGATGAACTAATTAGATTAACCAAAACAAGCTCGAGAAAACTCAATATCCTGTGATGGTTAGCTTGTACGTAGTTAGAAGTAAAGTAAAACCTACCAATAATTAGTTACGAAAACACTTAGAATAATTAGATGTAGCAAAATTAAGCTATTACGAAAGTGACCCCGAGAAAGTAATTAGCGGTGAGACTATAATTTATGGACGACCTTCGAGCGACGCTAAAGAGACCTTAAGAATGTCAGCCTACACACTACGACTAGATGATGGTTATAAAACAGTGTGAGGAATTAACATTGATATTTACAGTTGATAGTTAGGGTTAGGAATCAGATATAAGGTTTTCATCACGAACTGATATCAGCTATAATGACAGAACTCTATCTAGCCAAATGAATGAATTGATTTTGCGCCAAAATTCAAGACCTGTTATCGTAAATCTGATTGGTTCGTCCACAAATTATAGTCTCGCTTAATTAGCATTTCCTAAGAAAAAATAACAGAAAACAAATAAAATTTATATAACATTTTGACATGGCTCATTAACTTTTCAAAGTAGCTTAAGGGATGTTCGGACTCGAGATTAAAGAACTGACTGCGTAAAGAATTTTTCATAACCTAAAAAGCCATAAGTTGTGTCCATGACGCAAACTGATAGCTGTGTCTGATCTAGATAACAATTTATCAGCAAGAAAAAAGGGAACCACAAGAAAACAAATATGAAAACCGTTGCACTTCAACAACAGTTCAAAGATCATACAAAATTGAGAACAGCTGTCAAAAGGGTTGAGGGAATCTAATTCTGATGATAAATACTGTATGTATACGTAAATATTTTAGAACATAACAAACAACCTGTGTTACAACATGCGCGTAGAAATTGCTAAGAACAAACTATTTACTGAATGTTGATAAGTAGTATAAGAAAATGCACACAAAAAACGAGCTGGTAAGACGAAGATAATGACAAAGAACGTAAACAAACATTTAACATAGGAAAATAAATTTTCTAGTCGAGGAAAAAATTCATCAAAAAAATTAGCAGAAAAAATCACACTTACCGAAATGATAAGTTTTCTTCATATAATTTCAACGCCAAATGTTCTAATTCATCTTTTTCATTTGGTAATTGAATTGGTTGTCTACTTAATTCAATAGCAGCTTGTGAACGTCTACCAACCAGTGCATCATAATGTGAGCGAAGAATTTCTAGATTTGTACTAGCAATTTTACGCTCAACTAATAAAGTGGATATCTCTTTTTCAGTTGTCTCACGATAAGACTTCAGAAAAGTAACCAAAATAATTAAATATATACAATGAGTAATAACCAAGAAAAAAAGAAATGAAAGGAAAAACAATAAACAAACAGGAGTAACTATAAAGAAGAGTTTGTAATTCCCTTTTATTGTTGTGCATATTTGGAGTGTATCATCTCGACGCAAATATATCAAGACTTATGACAAAGGAGTATATCGAAGTGATCCACCCGAAGATATATGAGTAAGAAGATTAATTACAGTTCTGAAAATCCACAGAGTGATTACAAATCTTCAAATATTAATCTTTACATAGACTCAGTAGGTCGTTGTATAAAAAGTTAGCGTTTAAAACGAAAAGCACTGGGTTCGAGTCTCAGTATCAAAATCAACACTAGGACCCACGTACATCCATCCGAAAAGTCCCAAGTGGGACGAAACTCGAATACTAGATTCCACTACTAGCAACAAGCCAAATATACAAAGACGGAACTAACTATGCTACGACTATACATTCATATACAACTGTGGAAACTAGTGGTTATTTCATTTCTTATCTTGTAGAAAACTTATTACAATGAGGGATAGACCACACAACCATTACACATACAGAAACTCTAGGGATAAGTAGGTAGATGTTTATTACTTTAAAAACTGTTTCATAGAAAGAAATAAAACCGCCACAAAGTAGATGAATATTTGCGCCCAAACACTAAGAAATGATTATGAATCATGGATAACAACACAAATGTCTTGTTCCTAGTGGTTCATACTTCTATCTATATACGAGATTGGATAAAGAAATTCTCGACTATTTAAATCATGATAAAGCAACTTGTTAGATAATTTATAGGGACAGATGAGTAATGAGTTGTACACTAACCACAACAGTAAGAAATGTTATATGATTCTGCTACAAAATAAAATCAACTAAAAATTTACCAATAACTATGCAAATACGTGTTATTGGAAAAGAATTCTTGCCAAATAACTAAATGAAATCATTCAATCGTTTAAAGATCCCCATCATATTAAAAGACTAATATTTGAATGAAGAATATTCTTTACCCTTAACTTGACCATTTTTCGAATTATTAATTTGGATATATAATTGTAGAACCTGAAGAGAATTTATCGAAAAGAATATTCTTCGTTCAAACATTAGTCCTTTAAATGAAATCAATAAGTAGAAAACTAACTTTGTAGTTTAACAGCAAATCATCTAATCGTTGACCCAACTGATTAGAAATTGTACTAATTTTTTCTATTTTAGATGTTTGTTCAGCAACTTGAGTTTTAAGGGCATTTTCCAATTCTAATTGACGATCTGTAGCAACTTTCAAAGCGTGGCTTTTCAAATCTAATTCATTTTTAACGGTGGAAAGCTGTTTTTGTAAATTTTTCTAAATACGGTGTTTATTAATAAAAAGACAATAAACAAAATCTGATTATACATGATCAAAATTGTTGTGTTTTTAGAAAATACTGAACGGTAAGAGTTTAAATTTACTTCAAAAACCCTTGGTCATTTTTATATGATTTTGCGGGAAAAATATACATTGAAAGACATTTTCGGAACTGCTTTGAGTATTCAACAAAGACCACATACTATGTACATACAGGGTGGCGGAAGCGGCCCAGTGGTCAAGGCGTCCAAGTTTCGACCTTAAAATCGCTCACACAAATTATAAATTGTTGTTTTAAGAACAGACAGAATAATACAGATATCGTTAAATTTGCTTCGACCATGCTTTCTCTCAGTCTGATTCAACAGGATTAAGAATCGTGTTTTAACAAAATAATTGTAGGCAAAACATCCCAAATAATACAACTTTCATCATTACATTAGGGTTATAGGTAGTAATAATAATAATATCGGCTATATTCAATACTATATATTTAGTACAATATGAAGTTCTCATGATCCAATATTACAAACAATCACTCGTCATATTCGTCGCATATATATATTCATATAAAATTCAGTGGATATTTTATTAGAAAACAATAATCTTTGCAACGGTGAATACGCCGAATGTTTAAGACCAAACATTTTCTGCTAGGTCAGCTCTCCCAATCTGTTTGTCAGATAATATATGTGCTAAACACGACATTGTGGAGCTTTTGTATTTCTGAGTGCGTAAATTTAAATACACCCGGGTCATGTTTGTCAAAAGTTACGTGAAGGAAAAGATATGAATGTAGATGGCAAACCAGCGCCTGACCGTTAGTTGCAAGATTTTAAATGTCTATTCACAACTATATCCATAATGACATCATATGGTGATAAAAACTCATTAGTGATGAATTTTAGTAAGACATTAGAATTTAACAGTATCAAGAATAAAGTAGTCTATTCATACAGATACCATTAGTTGATCATTGAACAATGTTCTGAACTGATGAGAGATAGGAATGTGGATTGTTAGGTTCCAACCCTTGAAGCAATAGTGAAAACACCTAAGTTTATATTTATGATAACATATATAATGATACCAATATGGATAATAATAAACACAGAAAAGTAAATAAATAAACAAACCATTGTATCGGTTAGGTAGATTTGCCCTTCAAAAGATGTAGAATGATCACATATTGATTGTGTGACAACAGTCGATTGAGTATTTCTATCATCATCAGAATTGATATGATCATTACAATTATCAGGTGATTTGTGCATAGAATATTTTTCTGTCATTTGGTCACATGATCTCTTAATTAAATTACTCGGATTACCAGCAGGATCAACCATATTATCATTACTATTATTATTATTATTATCAATATTGTTTCCAGAACTTTCTATCTTCATATTTGAATTATGAAAAATTTTACTGACAATTTTCTCTGATAATTTATAACTTGTTGCTGAATCTAAAAAAAATTACCATTTCCATGATACGAATAAATAATGTATAATATGAAGGGTATTTACATCATAAACTGACATAATATTGGCGAATCTTTGAAAATCACACAGCAAGCATTGTTTTATGCTAGATATGTACAAATCACGAGTTTGAACTAGTGACGTTACCTATGTGAGACTGAACTTAAGCTTCTTATTTGTTTAGTCTTACAACATAATATTATTTACTCATTGAACTAATAATGATATCCAACATTTGGTAGTGGCTAAATAACAGATACCTTCAAATAAAAGACTAGATTATTTTCGATCAAAATGAGTTACAACATTGTCGACAATCTTCCTGCTAAAAATAAAGGAATATAAAATGCATATAGTAACGTTAAACTTCATTTAAATATGATAAATTAGAATATTGATTATTGTCAAGACAATATATACTTTCGTTAACAAAAAAGAAATATAACTGATACAGCGAAATTAGTACAATTTAATTCACCTCGAAAACGCCAATAGTTTAATAATTGAATTTTAAAATAACAAACAAACAGGACAGAAGAACAATCAGACAAGCAAACAGTAATAAACACAAAAGAGTAGAATATAAAGATATCACATCACTACCACCAGCAACAATCATGCCATAAGATTTTTGTAATGATGAAGAGAAAAACAATTATTTATAAGTTATTTATATTTATTTTTAATTAATTGTCCACTACTCCAGTTAATATAACAGATAACCAACTGACGTCAGCAAATAATTGATTAATTAATCAACTAAAATATTAATTTTGACCAGAATTGATTAAGTCATAATGACACAGATTTATGCATGATTACACCTGAACAGTTTGCTTTTATTTACTTTGGAATAAACGAACTAATAAACAAAGAGGAAAAAAAGGATGTAAACAAGAAAGACTGAAGTGACCTAAAGAGATTTGACAAAAAAGGGTTTCGTTGAATCAAACTACATTTGGTTACATTTCCAGGTAACGTGACTCACACAATCTGTTGTAATGGCAAACAGATGGATCCCGGGACTCTGAATTTCAATATAATTATATAACTTCATCCCAAAAATTCATTCCTACTTTATTTCTTGAACTCCTTCATATTTAAATTCATTGAAACATCATTGATTATTTCAACTCCTTTGTTATTTATTTACCTTGCTTTGTTGATGAGATGTGATAATACGGACTGACGGACGTCTATACACCAGGTCTTATATTGACGATGACTGACTAGATATTTCACGATCGTTTTATAAAACAAAAAAACATTTAATAGGTTGATGATGAATAAATTTATGTTAGAATAAGTGAACAATGTAATTTTTGCCTTGAAATTGAGAAAAAAAACCACCGAAAAAAACAGCAAATTAGTAAACCAAAACAAAGGCAAGTCGTAGTTAAATATTCAAGTGAACAAGATGCGGAGTCTGATGACAGTACTGTTCGCTAACTAATAAGTAACTTTATTTGATATAAAATATTGACATAACAGTTTATAGCTACAAAACCAAAAATAATCGCAATAGTTTTCTTATGAAACTCAGACAGCAAAAGGAATAAATAAGATTATTATATATCGATCAAAAAACCTGAAACTTTCGTATCTGAAGCACTCGCAATTACCAACGACTAAGATTTCAGGTTCAAATACAGCTACACCACCTATTCTTAGCTAGCCAGTCGAATAACAAGACTGCTCCTACCACAATCTTTAGAGTGTAACTCAAAGACAACTAGACAAATCTATACTTGGGAAACAAGTACTATAATCGAATAAGTTACAATATTATTTTGATTTAATCGGTATACTACTAAATTGATGATGAATGAAAATTACAAACTGATTAGTAGAATGATAGCATTGATGTAATACACCATAGATGTTGAATTACTTTAATTTCTACAATACTGTAATATTCCAGTTCAAAATGTTTTGTTTAGTGAATTTTATAACATCACAGTTGAATTTGCAAGTTGATCTATGCTAGACCACCATCGAAAACCTCGAAGCACTTGTCGGGTGAGACCGTTATCTACCTCAGAAAATGACTGAAGAGTTGCGCAAGACCATTGGTCGATTGTAGTTAGATATTAACAATGTCGGATGCCGGCTCAGTGGTCTCGAGGTTAAGCGTTCGCGTGCGAAACCGAACACCTTTGGTTCGAGTCCCGCGTGCAAAATCGTGGATGTGCACTGCTTAAGAGTCCTATACTTATATGAAACGGTATTCCAGTGTTTCCAGATTTTCAATGGTGGTTAGTTTAGATCGACTCGTGAATTTAACTGTTAAAAGTACTACGATCTCCAGAAATCCCCATTCTGGAAATATAATTTTATTTATTCATGATCTAGCCTGGACTTGATGGTGTTATAACACGACGTTTTATAAATCCACATAAACTCAGAAACTTTTAATCGCTTAGTCAAGAACCAGATATCAATAATAACAACGTATATGGACAAATAATTAATATAGAATAGTCTACAATGTATTTCTGTAGTACAAAAGAGTATATCGGTTTACCACACATACTAGCCAATCATAGTTTGGTTTGACCAAACGTTCCAAATAGAGTAATTAGGCTTTCAAACTAACTTGATGTACCAATATATTTTTTAGCAAAGTAACTTAAAAAATAATTTGATAATGTCATTCGTCAAATATATTGTACATAGATTGATAGACAATTATACAAATTTACAGAGTGAATAGAAAATAAAAAAGCCCCCAAATGCCCTGGTTCGTTTGATAGTGAGGAGTGTCAGCTCTACATCTCTTAATGCTCTCATATGGCCACGCATATACAGCCACTGACAACGACGCCCTACTCACTGCCTTTTCGCAGTGGGTGTGTTGTCTACGAAATTAAGAAGACGAAAAGCGAATGCCCGGCACCTCAATCAGATTAGTGGATGTAGAGGATCCACCTAGAGGAGTTGGAAAACCCTGATTACAAACCAATGGCACATATGGGCTTCAGAATCCTAAGGGACCAAATGGCATATGAAACTATTGTTGGCCATAGGCTACCATACGACTGAACCGCCTAACGTCGCTCCACTGCCTTATGGATTAAACCTCTAGGTTAAAGGCTCTGTGTGTTACTCCCTGAGAAAACCACCTTGTTCGGTTTCGGCACTCGGACGGTATTCTAGCCCTCACAGAAATGGGATGACGAAGTGTTTCGCATATATATGCAGTGCTTTCTTGTACCAATATATATGTGTTTAAATAATAATAATAATAATAATAATAATAATAATAATAATAATAATAAGAGAAGGAAATAAAATCACTTTAAAGTTTCTTCTAATAAATCGTACACAACTGATGCCGAATATATTTACTATTATTCCGCACAAATAATAATAAACACTAAACTCATGTATAGTGAAAAATTAACAGTCGTTAAGTGAATAATATTGGAATATAACAACGTATAAAAGAAAAAAAACACTGCAAACTCTCACTAGAATATCGTAACTTGTTTATAAAAATGCATTCCACATGTTACATACGATATACATGATTCGTTTTTAAAAATCAATGTTTACGTGTAGTTTTTCTGAAATTAATAATATTGATAAGAATTTTAATTGGCTTTACTAAGAATATTAGCAACGTATTATAAATTCCTATACTAACAATAACTATGTGCACCCTAGCGACTAATTCAGAGAGGTAATTTTTAGGATTCTAGTCAGAAGTCTTGACTAGTGGAGTTCGATCATGTCACAAATGAAGCAGCTACTCGCGAATTAGAGTTGCGCAATAGCATAAATTGATTAACGTTAGAAATGTAAACGATTCGCTCGCAACTCAGTGATCTCAAAGTTAAGAACTAGCTGGGAAGCCTGAAAGTCCTAGGTTCAATCCTTGAGAGATGGTGCATGTGTACTGTTGAGGAGTCTCATAATAGAAAAACCAACTGTTCAGTACCTCCTCAGCTTTCGTTGTTTGGCTAATTATGATAAGTTTGTTATGTAAGTTGTAAAATTCCCAAGAAAAGTATAAAAAAATTTTACGAATTAAATTACAGGTTAAAAATTGAAGTTACACTTCAAACCCAGAGAATAAGCTTAAACGTATGACTGAGTGAAGTGGTGGATTAAAGTGGATGAAAGTACTAACTGTCCAACGATTAAAACGCAGATTCGAACACAGCTGCTCTGTTTATTTTAGTTTGGCAACCTGAGTGATATTACTAAATTTTGGAGAGACTTAGTGACTCGACTGTGATTACATAGACCTGCACTTACCAAATGAGTTGAATTATTTTATTGACTAATATAATGCAGAATCAAAGTGATTGGATTATCAGAACTTTGAGAATTTTAACGATGAATATTTACATTCAATCAACACTCTACTGAGAAAAGAATAACCAATTGTATGTTTCTTTGACAGTTTGTTAATACGTTAACTGACTGCAATAATACAATATAACAGATTAATATGCAGTTTCGAATACTTATCTGGTAGGATAGAGAAACATAAAATCATTTAACTACAGTACAATAAACGGAGCCTTGTCAAAATAATTAATTTACCATATCAGTAAGCAAAAGTCAGTCTTTAAAAGTAAGAAATCATTAATGCCGAGAGGTAAAGGAAACAAGCGAGAATGATGTTGTCAATGAAAGTGACATGGAAGCATTCACCTAAAAATAAGCCCCTGCAGTAACACAAACAGATAAATTCAAGCTAGAATATTAACAATGGAAAAATGGAAAACTTAACAACTAGTAATACACAATCAAGATTTTAAACATAAATACAGTTAAGTTTGAATGAATGACATAATTTATATAATTCATTTCTGAATTTATTTCCGGCCCTGATCTAAAACATCATGTAGTTAAAAGTTACCATATTTTCTATCGTCCAAACAAAGGACGCTCATATCACAAGTTGATGACATTGGAGCAACTTGTCTGTTATAATATGTCAGTTTCTTCTTCTTCTTCTTCTTCTTCTTATTATTATTATTATTATTATTATTATTATTATTATTATTATTATTATTATTATTATTATTATTATGAAAATCCATGTTAACGCTTTTACAATAGCTAAGTTTATAATTAGTTGAGTTTAGTGTCAATAGTCTTTATACAATGGGTCTTCCTATAATAATTGAGGTTGTACTATTATGGTGGTCAATAATTAACTCCTTACTTTTTCAAATAATCTTTCAGTAAAAAAAGGATAAAGACAAGTTCATTATTCGGTCATAACTATCAGTAACACTGTATACCTGTTTTAAATTCAGTCTATTTGTCACAAAACCTACAAAAGTCAATTACTGATATAATCATAAAAATTTAAGATAACAATCATAATAAATGAATTACTAAACACATACTAGGATGTAATGTTGTCCTAGTGAATGGAATCGAAGAATTGATCAAAATTTGTTGTAGACGTGTAATTTCTGTTTCGTAAGGTTCAACTATTGCTCGTATATAGTCGTCATCATTATCCTCCTCTTTGTTCAAACAAATGTCATGATTTGCCCAAAATGATGAAACAGTCGATTTATTTAAAATAAAATTATTTGTTAGTGCTTTATGACCAACACGTCGAACTAATTTCTCTACTTTATCCAATGCTTGATTAGCTAAACTTTGAGCTGACTTTTTTTCAGTGATAAGAAGTGATGATTTGGAGGTTGGACAATTCTCATTTTCAGTTGGTGATGAATGTGATGTATCGTTTGAACACTGACCATCTATAAACTGATGTAAATAACCCTATGATAAATGAAACATAGTGAAGAAAATTAGATTTGTGATGAGTTAAAAATGATAGGTTGGGCTAAGTTATCGAGTTTAGGTTCATCTAACATCTACTGAAACCAAACATTGTAAGTGTAAAGGCCTAAAGTACTTCACTTAACTATTCATATTCATGTTAACAAGACAAAATTGAGCAAATCAGACACCAGAATGTCCCGAGTTATTGATAATGGCTTTTAATGGCCCTATATCTAACTCCAGGTAGATCTTTTGCTGCTTGTTACCGAAATATACATGTCACCAGTCCTCGTATATAACCATCGACTTAAATTACGTTCAGGAATAACGAAATTAAATAAGTCAAATACGAGAATGAAGTTTTGAATACGTATATTTTGTACAGTAGTTAATCAGAACAGACAATCAGAGAGACGGAGTGAAGGAAGCAAACAGGAAAGAGAGAAGCGAAACGACGCACGGTGAAGAAGGCATGTAAGCCAGCTCGTCTTAATCATGTGTGACTCGATATTTATAGTCAGACAAAATAAGTTACAGATATGTGATGAGTAAGATGAGATATGCACACACATACGTTCATATAAAAAACAGTAAGGGTTAATAAGAGAATAAATGACAGGGTAAAAACATGGCTTGAGAAGAATGAATAGATTGATATGTCCAGAGACTAGAATAACCTATATATGCTTTACATAGTACCAGCCCCTACAGGCTAAAAAATGAACCATTCCTATTCATATATCTAACTATAGAGAATCGTTCAAGTTAAATCTGGATGGGGTAATATCCACCATAATCCTAATACACACTAAATAATAACAAGAAAACATTTGTAATCTAAAAATCACAGAAAATATTTATCATGCTTACTGGTCAAGGTTTACAATAATGTCAGTGTACATCCACATGAAATAAAACCAAATAACCAGTAAATTATTAATAATCAATCAAAGTACTATGAAGGAAAGGAGAGAAAAACAAATCACATGCTTATTATGTCTTGCAACATCTGATAAGCCATACTTTAGAAGATATTAGAGAAATATAGTATTTCTGGAAATTGAATTATCTCATCCAGTGTCAAATTTTAATCAAAGAATATCACGTTCTAGTTTATGATACAATAAACAAAAACCTTGAAGTATAGCTTAATCATTGAGTTACAACACTTAATTCAATGACAAATAATTCAGATTGTAATGCATTTAAAAATTTGTGTAGTTTGAATACCAGTTTTCAGTTTATTTTGATTCAATTCACTCAATTTATTAGTATCGATAGTATAATTTATTAAGACATAATTCATTGATTTTGAAAAGAAATTACTTTTGATCAGTGTATATTGAAGTTTTAAGCACTTGATGCATAAAATGACCTAACTATAGTTTTCATTATGAACACACCAATATTACTTCAGGTGATAGTTAAACTATTATTAGTTGCAGGTATCAGTACCAAGATTTGATTTGATAATTTTGAATAAATTGAGCATTGGGTAGATTGTTATAAATAAATAATATATTTGTAATATCCCAATGAGTAGAAAAATTAGATTTTCTACTCATTGGGATATTACAAATATATTGTTTATTTATATTATTAGTTGCGTTAAAGAAACTCCAACTATAGTAGTTGGGAGATATTTGACCGATTATAAAAAGACCAGTATGCTGAGTGACAGTCTTCAGAATACCTATGAGACAGCCAATAAAGTTTAAAGGCATGCTTAACTAGTAGGTATTCGGTTACTGACGTCTCCGTAAAATTGATTAAATATGGTTGAAACATTAGGGTGGCTGTAGTAAAAATAACGCCTACATAAATTACTATTATCACTATACACTTGGTGGACTAAGCATGGATGAGTCAAGACGTGACATTAGTCTATGAAGGTATCCGAAGTCATCGTATGTTAACACGTGACAATGTAACATAAATATCCTTTGATTATATCGCCCTATAATCTAAAGTGTTATTTTCCCAAAAATTTCTAGCAATTTGAGATAATCCTTAGTTCGGGAGTCACTGAGAGGACCTACGTGAGAAGTGATGAAGCTACCGAGAACGGAGTTCTAGGATCATAACACCAAAAGGATAATTCCCTTTACTGTGACTAAAAGTTTGTTTTACGCGCGTTTATCCGGGGACCCTGTGACATCTTCGTATGGTCTTGCTGGAGTTGGTGTCGCACTAAGCGCTAGAGCTGAGGCAGCACTAATCGATTGGATCCCCATTAACAGTCGGTTATGTGCTGTTAGATTACAAAGTACCATCAAAGTGAGAAGAAATCGACGTGAGAAACGATGTCTTTTCGTCATCTCCGCCTATGCCCCGACAGATCACAGCCCGGATGCAATCAAGGATGAATTCTACCACCAGTTAACTGTTCTTCTCCAGAAAGTGCGTTCGATAGATATTGTAGTACTAGCCGGAGACTTGAATGCTCAGGTCGGGCGTCTAGGCACTGAAGAGAGTCGTTTAGGTGGCCAATGGGGACTTGTTGGTCGCACCTGACCGTTGTTGCTACCTTGACGTGGTGGTCGGGCTTGCCTATCGTGATGAAGCAACTGAGCTATACTGGCTGGAACAACCGTTCCTCAAGGTCCTACCATGCCAGACAGGTCGGTTGAAGAGCGGTAAGACTAAAAGCAACAAAACCAAGGTCCGAAGGCGAAGTCGTACTGCTGACTGTACAGAGGTGTGACAGCAGTAAGGTGTTTCCTTCAGACAACCAGCATAACAGCGATGCTGCCTTCCCACAAGGAGGGGTGGGGTTAGAAAAGGTCGACCCTAAAAATGCACACCTCGCCTTATCCCACGGATATCCGTCTCCGGCGGTAAGGACTCAACAAGTACGGAGCTAACACAAAAATCACTCATAAAAAGGTCGTGTGTGACCGACCTCAAGCAGCTGTCCCTTGGGCACTGCGGTCACGCTCTCAGGTCACTATGACCAACTCTAATCCAATTTCCTTTTCAGGTACCTCCAGAAGAACCCTTCCACGGTGTGGGCAACCGGGAAGTGATAACCGCCCTCATACCTCTAACAGCACTCAAGACCACTGTATTCATAATCAACCTCCCTCTTCAATTCCTATTATTCCTCCTACATCGACTTTATACACTAAACTTCCTCTTTTAGCTTCCTCCTCAAGTGTCACCACAGCCAACGATTCTAATGCTCAAAACACTGTCCCAGATCTACTGAAACCTCGCTCCAAACTATACATTGGAGCCTTCAACGTACGCACACTATGCCAAATCGGTCAGCAGTCTTCCTTGGCTAAAACCTTAGAATCTCGTACCATTGATGTATGCTGTGTCTCCGAAACACGCATACAGGATCCTAGTGTGGTCATTCACTTGACCTCACCTCGGCAAAACGGAGAGCCAACGAGATACACCCTCTGTGTATCTGGCGACCCGATGGCTAGTTCTCGTGGACTGGCAGGTGTAGGCATAGCACTTAGCATGAGGGCGGAACAAGCGCTATTAGAGTGGATCCCCGTTAACAGTCGTCTATGCGCTGTTCGGCTAAACGGCTCCGTAAGAACTCGGAAGGATAGGGACACACGTCGTTGCCTTTTCGTCGTTTCTGCCTACGCTCCAACTGAATGCAGTTCGGATGAAGTGAAAGATGAATTTTACAGAAAGCTGTCTGAACTTCTTCAGAAAGCTAAACGTTCAGACATAGTACTCGTAGCAGGTGACTTTAATGCCCAGGTAGGTAGCTTAAACAAAACAGAAAGACATTTAGGTGGGTATTTTAGTATTCCGGCACAGCGAACAGATAATGGTGATCGTCTGCTGCAACTGTGCTCAGACAATCGTTTATTTTTAGCAAACACAAATTTTAAGCATAAGGAGAGACATCGTCTAACATGGCGACCCCCTGCACCAAACCAACGATGGACTCAAATAGACCATATTGCCATCAGTCATCGTTGGAGAGGGTCAATAGAAGATTGTCGCTCATTCTGGGGTACCTGCTTGGACTCTGATCATGCCCTAGTACGAGCACGCATCTGCTTGCGCCTCACTGGACGCAAAAGAGCCACACAAAAAAGACTCATTAGAACCGAATTGAGTAATGAGAAAGCCAAAAGTAGGTTCCAGGAACAACTGAGGTCACACTTAGGTAGTTCTGAAACCGAGACTAACCCAGATGTTGCTTGGAAAGTTATACAATCAGCTGTGGAAACAGCAGTGACATCTACCAGTGATTTAAACCAAATGGTTACAAAAAACCAATGGATTTCGTCAAGGTCTATTGCACTGATAGATTCTCGCAAACTCATCCCATCAGGTTTTGAATACGATGAAGAGCGTAAAGAAATCAAATCTAGATTAAGCAAAAGTCTAAGGAATGATCGTGAGCAGTGGTGGGCAACGAAAGCAAAAGAGATGGAAAAGGCGGCGGCTATAGGGAACACAAGACAACTCTACAGACTAATAAAAGAAACTGGAATTAATAAATCAAGTGTAAGTCAGACCATTTCGGAAAAAGACGACACTCTCATCTGCTCCCAGTCCAGACGCTTAGAACGATGGGCGGAACACTATAAGGAGCAGTTTAGCTGGCCTTCAGCTACTCTACAACTACCCTCCATTCCCAGACAGTGTGAATGGAACATTGAAGTAGGTCCCCCAACTCTAGCTGAAGTTCAAAAGGCTATAGTTAATCTGAAACGAGGAAGGGTAGCTGGTCCAGATGGATTGGCTCCAGAGGTCTTTAAGGATGGTGGTCTAGTCTTAGCGATTAGGTTGACTAATATTTTAGCTAAAATCTGGGAGTTAGACGTTATTCCATCTAACTGGTCACAATCACTTATCGTCCCAATATTTAAGAAAGGGTCAAAATCATCCTGTGACAACCACAGAGGGATTAGTTTGACTAACATAGTATCTAAAATACTAACTTCGATAATTTTCGGACGCCTAACTAAGACTCGTGAACTGCAAACACGTGAAAATCAGGCAGGCTTCAGACCTGGTCG